TTAAGTATTCAGATTTTAAGTTCTCAGAAATGCTTGGATGAGGGTGTTTGATGTTTATTAAGTATTCAGATTCTAATTCAGTAGCTGCTTTGTGTTTGCTGTTTTTATTGGAGAAAATACTATGCATTCTTAGAACTTGATGTTAAAATTGCACTTTTGTTTTACCCAACACTTATATCATTATTTTTTAGTTTACTCAGTAAGTGCTAAATGATTATTACTAAATGAATATTCATTCATTATGTTGCTATGTTGTAGTAAGACTGAACAAATTAATTAGTTTTTGTTTTTAAAGGCATGATTATATGTTTTTGATGGCATTATTATATGTTGAACACATCATGGTTTTGTTTGTGTTTTGCTGTTTAAATTGTACTTTCTTGGTGTTGTTTTGATGTTATGTGTTAAATGATTAAGTGCTAAATGATCATATCTGATGTTTTTATTTCTTGGTGCTGTTTTGCTGTTATGATTAGATAGTTTATAACACTATTCTGATATAGATTTTTGCTTTAGAAACTTGTATATTCTGATATTATCTGTTTATTTTAATTGTTGATTAATTTAGTTGTTTTGCTGTTTTGGATAGAGAACATATCCTGTTGCTATGTTGTTGTATGACTGATTAATATTATGACTAAATATAGTTTAAGTAATTGAATAGCAAAAACATTAACAAATAGGAAGCAAGAATATTTATTAATGGAATTTCTTGTAATTGCGATAAGAATACAGAATCATAATTGAAACTGTTTCTGAAAATGCTAAGCACACATATTTTTTTTCCAACTTCCAAAATTTTTCAATCTTTATCTTCTTTTGCCCTTTTGGCTCATCTGAACAGCTTGTGCCTTCTCCAAACACCTCAGTTTGGTCCCTCTTCTTAATCTTTTCCTTGCAGCCATTTCTAGCAATAAGTGGACAGCCAATTTCACCCTTTACAACCCAGTTTGGGTTGGGAACTTCAGCCTTTACAGCCCTGTTTGGGCTGTACAGATCAGTCTTAACAGCCCTTATTGGGCTGTAACCTTTATCATCTTAAGCCCTTATTGGGCTGTTCATTACAGAATGTGTAGCACATATTGGGTTGTTCTCTTTTAGTTCAGCCTGCACAGCCCTTTTAGGGTTGTTCACTTTAGCTTGTACAGCCCTGATTGGGCTGAGCAGTTCACCATTTGATTCCTTAATTATTAGAAAATATAAATTAGTAGAAAATATAATTTTATATATTATAAGTAGAATTAATTAGGTAAAAACCTGTGAAGTTATTGGCAAATGTCTAAATCGATTCAGCAAAATCGGATCAGCTGTAATGCGGACAACTGTAAATGGACCGTTGTAAGATCCAAACTGATCCTTCTTCTTCGACACTTTAAACATGAATGCTTTAGAGCGGTACACGGATTCAATCCCAAGAACCCATTTTCTAGCACAGAGAGCCGACAAGGAATTCCATTAATAACTGGCCGTTTTGATTCTTTTGAACAAATTGCTGAATTTAGTAGATCGTTTTAGGAGGCCCAGGAGATGAAAGGTGTAATTGAGGTATGCTTTCTAGCTCAATGCCCGCTACCTTCATTAGCTCAGAACAAACTATAGCTAGCATGATAAATGCCACCACATCTGATGCCTTGTATGCTGGGATGCAAATCGCTGCTCCTTAAAGTGGTAAAGTTTCTAATCTTTTAGAATCCCAAGTTTGTCTATGAAGAGCAAATCTAATTGTACTCGTTCAAGAGCTCAATTCCACTTGGCAAAAGGGCTCCATCATCTTTCTGTATAATTCATCATAAGAATAATAAATATTATGAAATGTAACTAATCATTAGGGCACTTAGAGAAATAATATGGGTGCATGCCTTCAACATGTCATTGACAACTTCTTCACAAGATTTTCCAATCATCTCTTTTGAAACTTTATCCCAACACAAAAGTGGTACAACTCCCGTGTCGTCCACAATTGAAATGTGGAGCTTGTACCTTAATATTTAAAATTAAGATATTATAAGATAATATTATTGTAGACGATAATTATAAAATGAGAGATACAATTACCTTAGAATTGCAAAAGGAATAGAGTCCTTGCAATAATTGCACCGAAAACTCTCCTTTGGGCTCCACTTTCCGAACACATGTCGTGCAAGATTTGAAGAAAAAATTGCCGGATATGTCAATGATATTGCCATAGATCCAATAATTACGTTCCTGAAAATAAAAAAATAATAAAATATCATATAAGTGATCTGAAACTTAATTAAAAATTTTGAAGATTTAATAATTATATATATATATATATATCAATTATTTAATTTATAATATTATTTCTACCTCATTAGCATTCAAAAAATCAGCCACACTCTTTATTGGAGAAATTCCCGACTCCAAATCTTCACCAATATTAGATATGAAGGGCCTCACATATTGAAATGTTGACTCACTTGGCCTTATGTGTGTGTTGTACCTTTATATTCAACCAATAAATTTTGAAAAAGTCAATATATTAATCAATGGATAAAATATATTATTATACAATAACAAAGTATACAAAATAATTTAAATATCATTACCTTTCTTTGAAGTTCAAAATTTCGGGTATATCACCCATGATAAGTTTAGTGGCATCAAAAATGTTCCCAGCTTTTATAGATCCTATAGGAGATAAAAAATTATTTAGAGAACAATATTAATTTTAAGGATTCAAAAAAATCATTCAATGTGAAGAACGTACCATCCTCAAAAGCCCTTGCTCGGCAAAATTGAACAATTACTACACGCAAGTTATTCACCGGAGAATTGTTCAAGGCATCAACAATGACTTGCATATAGCATTCCCACAATGTGCAAGTCAAATGGCGCCCCCTGTAAAAAAAGATAGATAATGATTTTTTAGTTCAAAATAAAATCGTAATTACTTGAAATGTAAAAAATTGCTTATAATCTTTAACTTACTCAACGTCTTCTGGAATAATGTCAATGAATTTCTTTTCCACTCTATTTGAATTTGTAGTTCGTACGCTTTGAACCAAAGCGATACGGCCAATCAAATCTAAAAAATTAAATAATTAAACAAAATAATTTAAACTTATACATTGTAACAAAAGAAAATAATATTAATCCATCAAGAGAAAAAAAATTACCAAAAATTTTGTTGGAATCGATTGATTGAGGGTCGGATAGTTCTTTGAAGTCTTTGAAGTTGAACAACATTCTCGGGTAGTTGTTTTCAACCACCTCATCCATTTTTGTCTCTTTACCAGACTCAAGCTTGTGACTTGATTTGGTTAATTTGAAAGCATTCTTGTCCTCCAAGAGTTTCCAGCTTGTAATGATATACACGTGCCTTTCGGTAAGGTTGAAGTCTTTGAATTTTTTTGCCAACGAACCGGGCGCCGAACCATGAATACGTTGTCCCTAGAAAAATGATAATATATCATTAGGAAATTGATATTTTGACACATATAAATGAATTACAATAATAAGATGCAAAAAAAAAAAATAAAAAAAAAAACTAAAATACCTTAACGTCATGAAATACAAATTCTAGCTCTCTAATGCTATCCTTGGTTGACTTGTAGAACTTGGGGAAGTATCTAACCAACCTCAGCTTTGCAGCCATTTTTTTGTTTTTGGCCAAGTAAGTTAAATTTTCACAGTGTGAAATCATAATGTTTTTGGAGATTTTGAATCTTGAAAATTTCTGCTTTTGGGCGTGCTGGTAGAGTAGAGTATGGATTGGAGTGAGTGAGTATTGTCTTTTTTGGCTACTTATATAGGATTTGGGAATAAGCAAAAGGATTTAAATGAATAAATTAATAAATTAATTTAAATGATGATTTCAATTTAAATAAATGATTGATTGAGAAATTTAAGCAAATTGTATTTATGCTTTGACCAGCCACATTATATATTTAATTGTTAATAGATTAATGAAAATGCATGAAAAAATAGGATAATTAATATTTAATTTATATTTCAGTTATGAGGTTTTTACCAAAAATATTGAACATTTAATATTCAATTTTTATTAGTAATGAGATATGAGATGAGAAAAAATTATGAGATTATGATTATTTGGTTGACCCCCTTATCTGTTCGCTGAGAATTGCAATTAGTTGCAGTTATTAGATTAGCAAAAAAAATGGGTTAATTAATATTAAATTATTATTTGAGTTATGAGATGAGAAAAATAATGGGATTTTGATTTTAAAACAATATTTATCAAGCTGGCCAACAACTTATGGGATTTTGATTTTGGAGTTATAATATGATAGTTATACTCAATTTTTTTCGCTGACATTTTATTTTGTTATTTTTTCAGGAATGAAGGAATGGAGAGGAGATGGCTAATCTTAATATTTTATTTTTTCAAATTATTTTTTTTCAGTTGGTTGTAATTTATTTAATTTTTTTTATTTTGTTTAATTTTTTATGCATTTAAAAATTAATTCCGGTTAAAAATATAATTAGTGATAATTGTTGACATTAATTAATATGTTTAAAAAAATATGAAAACATCATTAACTTCTTATGATTTCATAATTAATTAGTTATCTATCATAAAACAGTTAAATCTCAACCAAAAATGTTTTGTTTTTATTAAATAAAAAAAAAACTAAAAAAAAGTGAAAAGTAACGTAAATGGGCGGAAAACTGCCAGTTAAGTATAATTTATTATGTTTTATTAAATGCACAATAGCTAGTAATTATATTATATATATATATATATAGATTTCCACCGACTGTCGTCGTTTATTCTCTATTTTCCCACCATTTTCTCACACCTTGCGCTCGCACATGGAGTTCCCACTATTTCGCTGATTAGTCGATAGATCGACGGACTACATGGTGTACAGTGAATATCATTCATACACCATGATATTCTTCATCCAGTTTTATACTCCATTTCAGTTCTCTATGTGTATGCAATAGATTGTGCCTTTGCTGTTGTGTTGTTTTCTGGACGTTGGTTTATCGAGAAATTTGTTCGAGTATACTGTCAGATGAGGAGCATCGAGCGCTTGCCTAAGGCCGTTCACAACTCTGTGCGCTCAGGGCTTGTAATGTGTGATTTTACAAGGGTTGTTGAGGAGTTGGTTTATAACAGCCTCGATGCAGGTGCTACTAAGGTAAGTTATTTGTTA